AAAAACCAAAAAAAAAAAAAAAAAAAAAAAAAAGAATAGGGGTCCTGGTCAGCTGCAATTCTCTGAGAACGGAAGATTGTAAGGAAATTAAGGAGACAGGGGAAGAAGAGAACACAAAGGCAGGTAGCTGTAGAATTTAAAGTCAAGAAAGACACAGACCCAAGGCAGCTGGGGATGGCTTGTCTGCAGGGAATGAGTGCCCACACGGGGACAGAGAAACCAAAGAGGGCCCCAAACTAAATGAGGCGGGCACAGAAGAGACCAGAAAATGAAGGGAGGGAATTACGGCGTGCATTTGTTTCCTGGGGTTTCAGTACCAGATGACAACATATTCGGTGATTTAAAACAACAGACATTTATTTCCACAGTCCTGGAAAGAGATCAAAGTGTTTGCAGACCCACACATCCTTCTGAGGCTCTCAAGGAAGAAGGGTCCCTTGCTTCTTCAGCTCCTGGTGACTGTCAGCATTTCTAGCATGTAGCTATATCTGTCTGTTATCTGCCTGTGTCCTCACATTCCTAAGTCAGCATCTTTTTTATCAACACTTTACTGACTTTAGGTCCTATGATGTCATTCAGAATATTCTGCTCAAGACCTGTAACTGTAATTTAGCTATATTTCCAGATCCTGTTGGCAAGTAAATTTTGGGTTCTAATGGCCACTAGATATCCTGTTCACTGAATCTAGGGTCCAAGAAAAACCTAGATATGGACAGAGTTCTTGAGCACCCATCATTTAACTCACTACAGGGTGGGAAAATCCAAAGTAGAGTGAAACAAGTCAGAAGGTCAGGGCAAATGGCTTCTTCTGTGGAACTTGCCAAGGGTTTTATGTATTCACCACCACTTGAGGCTGTACAGCCTGTCTGGAGTTTACTTGGGTACCATCTCCACCACAGCTTTCTCTGCTTTTACATATCCAAACAGAAAATTTGGAGGCTCATCTACCCACACCCAACTGCACCCAGCACATGGCTCACACAAAGCACTGCCCACACACTATTTTAGTGAGCTCAGTGTCCCTCCTACATAAACTCCTCCTCACTTATCTACTTTCTAATTTCCTGGACCCCTCCAAGGTTCTGGCTTTCTCTTCTTTCCCCTAATTCAACTCCTCCACATTGTTATGCAAGGCATTTTAATTCTCTTTCCATTTACTCTGCCCCAGGCTTACCTCTGCACAGCCAAAGACTCGTTAATGTCCCCATAAAATAAAGCACCATTTATGCAAGATGCAAAGGCAGAATCATTGGAACAGATTCTCTCTCTCTCTCTCTCTCTCTCTCTCTCTCTCTCTC